AATACATAAAGGTCTTAAGCCAATTCTACTTTGTCAAGTCAATATGGGTAGAAATTTATTGGCAAATTTAAAGTTTTAATCATGTGCCCACAAGAACTAGATGATTTCATACAATTTCCTCCTCCTATCACTGATCTTATAAATAAGTCACAATGAAACAGGTTCCTTATTAACTGCAATTTTTAATATCCTCTACTTCATTCCACACTGAAAGACACTTACGGGCTTGGTCTGTAGGGTTCATAAATTTTCCACTCTTGGTGGATGATGTTGATCTCCGTCCCATGTTGACAATATGTATGGTTCACTTATTCATTTAAAAAAAAATAAACAAACCTGTAAAGACAAAGAAATAGATTACCTTTCCTATATTGATAACATTTCTTCCTTTTTAGTGTTCCTATCTCTGGATATTATTCTTTAGAAAGGTAAGGAGTATGAAGATTACTTTATCATTAACTTATTAACATTTTCTGTATAAATAACAACACTGTCAATTGAAAAAAAATCAACTAGAAATGTGCTAACAACATGACACAAATCACAAACAAAAGCTGTCACATTCTTCCTTTATTTACATGTAGGGTAAAAGAATAAAAAGGAAAAATGGGGGCAATGAATCTGGGCTTAAAGACAGTATCTTCCCCTTGCCCCTCTCCACTTTTTTTCTTGACATATGTGCTATATATTTCCTGAGACATAAAAACTCATTAATTTAAGCCCATTCACTTTAGATTTAATTCTAATCTGAATAGAACTGACTCTCCTAAAAGCTTAAAATATAACCAAAAATGTAAATATCCAAAATTAATATTGTATTATATTAACAGAAATCCCAAAGACTTCTCCGCTGAGATATATGTTTCTTACTGGAATCTACTTGACTCCGGATTTATATTTTTTAAGGTAATTAAAAGTAATAACTGTGTTTAAGGAAAATATTTTTAAAATCACAACTTTTTTTTGGTACCGGGGATTAACTCAGGGACCTTCAACCACTGAGCCACATCTCCAGCTCTATTGTGTATTTTATTTAGAGACAGGGTCTGAGTTGCTTAGCACCTGGAGGTTGCTGAGGCTCGTTTTGAACTATCTTCCTGTCTCAGCCTCCTGAGATTACAGAGGTGCGCCACTGTGCCCGGCTAAATTAAAACTTTTATTAACATCATTTTTTTCTCTTTTACCCCCCCCCAAAAAATGAAACTTAGTCTTTCCGAAAATAAAGACTGACAAATTAGCTTTCTTTTTGAAAGTAGACACTTTTTTAAAGAGTGGGAAAGGGAAGATCAAAGGGCAAATTTTGGGGCACATAATAGGATTGATTACCTTCCCTTTGCCCCCTTAAGATTTTGTCAGACCAGTTAATACGTTTCACCAAGTGTTCAACTGCTCCTATTTCTGCTAGATGTTTCACAGTTGTTCCAGGGACAATTATTTTACCATATTAAGTGTCCCCTTCTCAGAAAAACTGGGGGCCTGGGGAAGGGGCGGGAGAATATAAAGTGGATAATGGGGGAACCAGCACAATAGTACAAGTTCTTATATCTTCGAGTACCTTTATCTGTTGTGTTTTCCTTTCTCATTTAAACCTCAGGCTCATATTTTGACCCTCTTCTCCCACAACTGGAACACAGGGCAGATATGAATTACAGAATTTTTACAGAAAATCGTGGAGCCTTAGTCTACACAACTTTTCTGCCTAAAAGCTAAAAGTGGAGGCGATTGAGAAATCAGGCCGAAAAGCCGTGGGGAATTATAAAAAAGTCAAAGAGGCTTCAAGGGACGGGGTCCAGGTCCACCAAAGGAGGCAACAGCAGCAACTGCCGAAACCATAGCGACGGTTGATACTGGACTCGAGGTACAAAACGTCAACCTGAGGCAACCGCTCAACGTGCTTAGGAAGCGGCAATAACCCACCTGGCGAAGTAACCACGTAGCCACTGGATGCTACCCGACGCCAGGCCCAGGAATCCTCCAGTCTGCTGCTCGGGAGATCCCAACTGGGAAGAGGAAGGGCCGGGTAAAGGGGCCTGGTGTCCCCAGGGCAACCGCGCGGGCCCTAGGAATGGACCGGAGAGATGAAGAAGCCGAGTAAAGCAATCCCATGTACTCACAGCACTGCTGGGCTCCCAGGACTGCGAGAAGCCGGAAGGGGGCGATTCTGGGCCCCTTTCACTTCGTAGGGGCCTTCACCTCTGCCTCTCGGTCAACCACCTAACCACCGCCATCTTGAAACCTCGCGCCCCACCGCCATCCTTACGTCACTTCCTATCCCTAGGGTCGACGATCTCTTAGCGTTRTTCTGTAGTGGAACCATAGAGAGCGCTCAAGAACTACAGGACTAGAGGCTTTTCCGCTATAAAATAATGCCCCATTGGCTGGTTGTAGGCTAAGAGCCCGCCCACGTCGATTGACACTTTATAGTCCAATAGGAATAAGAAAAAGAAAGTCAATATCTGATTGGCTGTTTATTTTGCCTCTCGGGTYGGGGGCGTTCTGATTAAATTACCGCAAGTCTGTTGAGCCATGCGATTCCGGTGCATTTGGRAAACGGCCTCTTTCTATCCCCGGAATTGTGTTAATTGTTGGATTTTCGTATTTCTTATAATGTAAACGGGCGCAATCTTTTGTGAGTGTCGCCATTTGAAAACGAGTTGAATAACACTTGCCACTGAATTGAATGTGCTTTGTAAGCATCTGGTTATCCCATGTGGGCGCCTGGGGCATCTGGGATTCAGTAGTCTATCAATACAGAGAACGTTCGTTTATTTGTTCGCCTCAACAAATAAATCTATGCCCGTATTAGCGGCTCAAATTGATAATCTACAAGATCGAGAAAATGTGGGGATACACGTGCAGTTAGTTTTAAATTCACAAGTGACGAAGTGCACATGTAGGGATACAGCTGTAATTTTAAATTTACAGGTGACGCGATTGGTACGTATTGGCTCCCTTCCGAACTCATCTTTTCACCAGCTGAAAGCCCTTTATGAGGTCACTAACTCAGATTACTTATGTCTAGACTTCCCCCTTCCCCTCTATACCTTTTTACTTAGGACTCCTTTCCATCTGTTCTCCTTAAAGGTAGGTTAAGTGTTTAAAAATTCTGCTGTTAAGAAACATGCTTTGTTATTTGTGATCTTAATCCAAGTCCACTAACAAGAAAACAGATATAGGCAAATTCTAATTACAAATATTTCAAAACATTGATGGAAACCCATTTATTTTTGACAGAAAATTCAAATGTGCTCCTAACATAGAAACTAACCCAGCCTTTATTTTAGGTAATTCTTAATTTGATCTTAGACTGAATTTGAGTCTTAAATCAATAACAAGAGCTTTTAAGTCAAAGTTTATAGAGTAGTAAAAAGGAAAATAAGATTACATTTGGAGGCCAGGCGCGGTGGCGATGGCTCATGCCTGTAATCCCATCGGCTTGGAGGTAGAGGCAGGAGGATCTGGAGTTTAAAGCCAGCCTCAGCAATTTAGGGAGGTGCCAAGCAACTCAAGGAGACCCTGTCTCTAATAAAATGCAAAATAGGGCTAGGGGTGTGGCTCAGTGGTGGAGTGCCCCTGAGTTCAATCCCTGGTACCACCTCCCCCCGCAAAAGATTTCATTTGGAGATGAACTAAATTGTGATATTTTGCAGCTAATTTATAAAAAAGTCATAATAGAAGAGAAAGAAAATGGAGTATGGTTTCAAGATTAATCTTTCACGTACCTAATTAACATTTTTTTGAGAAGACTTCTTTATTTCAAGACTTTTTTTGTAGTCGAATGTAAGAATCAACTCTAACAAACATATTCCTGAATCAACAGTGTTACAATTTTGGAAGTAGACTTTAAAAGAGTCTTTATAGAAATTATTAGTTAATAAAGGATTTAGAGAACACTTGTATCTACAGAAATTCACCTGACCCAGTAGGCCTCTATTGCCTCTGGATTTTTGTAAAATCAAGTAATTAGTGATGTTTCAGGTAGCAGAGGCAACTGCTTGCTTTCTGCTAGTATTGAAAGCAAAGTTATTTATTTTTTTTCAGAAAACTCATAATAAATTGTCTTTTTTTAAATAACAAATATTTAAAGAGTAGTGAGTTCCTTTTCTGCATTCCAAGCACATTTTATGCATATATAGCTGGGGTGATATATATATATATATATATATATATATATATATATATATATATATATATATATATATATATATTTATACCTGAATTACACTTTGTCATCATAGTTGGTCCGCATGGATTACAATTATAGAAACAGAACTTTTTTCATTTTTTTAATCCACCCAGATTACATTGTGTAATTAGTAGAAGTTCACAGATACATTGTCTCATCATTGAAACCAATTGTTACAAACCATTTATTTTTTATTTTTTGTGGTACTAGGGATTTAACCCAGGGCCTTATTCATACAGGGCAAGCACTCTACCAACTGAGCTATAACCTCTGCCCATTATAAACCATTTTCAGTCTCTTCCTGTCTATAGAAAACTGGACTAAATCTAATGGTTAAAAAATATGGTAGCATTTCTATTTTATTTTATTTGGTTTGTATCTAGCCAGAAGTTCTTTAATATGCCTCCTTAGTATTAAGTGATGTTTGAAGCTAGTGGTAGACATGAAAGTTTCTGCATTCAATGTAAATGTTAAGGATTTTGACTGGAAAGTAAAAAAGAAAAAAGAAAAAAGCAATTCTTACACCTGCTGCTCTGTGATGACATTTACTCCTATGTAGATCTGGTAGAATAGGGTGAGAAAACATCCTGGGAGATATACATCTTTTACCTCACAGGTTCTAGCACCAGCTGATCCAGTCATTCATTATTTGTGCAAAACTCAAGATTAATCTAGTTTTAACATCTCCAATTTCCTTTTCTGAACTCTTTATCCCATTTATATCCATATTGAAAACATATGGAAAATCAAAGAAGCAAATGCTGTTATTAAGAGGGAAGCAAAAAAATATTCCAGTGGCAAACCAAAAGGTTATTCATTTCATTTGGTGTTTGACAATATCTGTGACCTCAGTAATGGCATGATGATATTTTTCTGAGGCTGACTTGAATTCCACCAGATGCTTCTCATAACTTTTGATGGCTGCTTGAAGTTGTGTTTTCTCCACTGCTCCCAGGATGGCTCGGAAGATCATATCTATGCCAAGGCCAAGAACAGCAATTCCAATACTACCGAGGAGAGAAGCACCAATTTGAGCTAACACAGTGACCAACTTGTTAATTATGCCAGTTGTCACATTTGAGCCCACGAGTTTAACAGCCACTGCACTGGCTGCAGATGTAGCTTCTCCCAGAATGACTGAAATAACCTTTTGTACGATTGCAATCTTCTCTGTTTCCCTTTCCTTAATATCCTGAAGTTTTCTATACAAGGTTGGTTCTAGTTTTTCTTTTAGTGCTTCATCAACCTTTTGCAGTTCATTTTGGATATTCATTATGGCTTGGATGATGATGTCACAATTTTCTTTGATAGTCCCATCTCTCTTCATTTCGGTGGAGGCCAGTGTGCAGCCCAAGTGTGTATTTAGAACCCCTATCAGCTTATTGGTGGCATGGAAGCTGTCAGATAAGCAGTCAAGGAGCTGCTGGTGAAGCCGGTTTACTTCCTGCCGCCTCCTTGGGTTCTCTGGATAGAGGAAGTCACTGTGAGCCATGTTTCAAGTATGATCTCTGAAAAAATAAAATAACATATCTTCACTAAAGGTCTTGAAAAATATCTGCTGTGTGAATCTGATCAGGAAATCTTACTTCATGCATAACCAAGTATCCATATATTACCTCAAGAATTCCTCAGAAAACTCAATAGAGTTTTTAAAGCAATTTTTATGAAACTTGGAGTCAGTGTATGGAAAATATGGCAGCAGAATATAGCTCATTAATACTTAGATTAAGGCATTAGGTTTTGTGGTGTTGGGAGTATTCTCTAGATAGAGAATATTCATGTTTATCAAGCATCTGATATTAATAAACAAACATGATTTTTCCAGGTAATATTTAAGAACTTCTCTTTGAAACAGAATCCAACTCAGAATGGTAGCTCTTTATATAAGGGCTTCTTAATTTCCCACTCCTTTAGCATCTACAATGAATGTATTTTCCATGTTGATTTTTTTCTAATATTTAAGGTTAAATTACTAGGGCAAAAGAACATTAAGATCTCTGTTTAGAGGGCTACTGATATGATTTTTGTGTTTCTATGTTTGGTTATCTTCATTTAAAATATTCAAAGCTCTATATSTCTTTATGGGCAATTTATTTTCTAAACATGGGATATTAGAGGCACCTCACATATAAAATTATAATCTTTAAAAAGAATTCCTCATAAGATTATAACCCAAGGCTTTGGCTTAAAATTTAATTTGGGGAGACGATGGGCACCATGCAGAGGACAGTGTAGTAATGGGAATCTGTTTGCAAAACTTATAGATTAAATCTTTAAGTGGTTCATATTGTACTTGGCTATCAGTAAGATTAGCTAGAGTTAGTGTTAGAAGATAATGCCTTCTTACAAAAGTATTAAAGTAATACAATTACACTATACAAAAATATAAACCAAATAGGAGACTTCTTGTGTTTGTACTTAACAGTACCATTTAGACAAAAAAGGAAAATGCATACTCCTCTGAGATTATTTGGGTGAGAAATCTACCTTCCTATGTACTTGGCACTTTTTTWAATTTTTCTTTTTTAATTCAGGAGAAATCAAAGAAAAAGCAGCCCTTTATTTATGTTGAGCAAACATCTGCTTAATTTGGGTCTTATCTATGTATTCCAGAAACTTGGTTCTTAATGTGGACATGGGAACCCTAGAAGTGTGAGATGAAGGAATGAAGATTATTTTTTTCCTCTAGAGAAAGTAAATATGAATATAATCAAAATTTCAAGTCATGAGGATATAATTTGAAAATTTAAAGGAAGAACATTTTTAAAAACTAGGAATATAAAATAGCCATTTATATGTAAGATTTGGAAAATCTTTAGGAGCTCCCTGGTAGAATGGTGATAAATCTTAAATTCACTTTTATCTAGATATTCTCTCTCTCCCTCTTTTACACACACATGTGAGTTAAACATGAATTTCTGCTAAATAACATCTGGAAAATTTCCTAATTCATTTCCATTTTTAAAAATTGCTGGCTGAGGACATATTAAATATTACCCAAACTTATCAATGGGTTGCAAATTGCAATTCCAAAAACACAAATTTAGACTTTGATTTCTCCTTTTTTTTTCCTATGAATTTTCCATGAACTTTTTTTAAGCTCTTGATTTTCAGATCTTATGGCAGAAAATTCTAGTTTCCAACTTTGAATTCAGAAGATTACCCTGCATCCCTATTCAGATATTTAGGTGGGAGGGTCTTATTATTCTGAAAAAGTGGAAAATATCTCTAGCAGCTACCATATGTCATCATATGAACACAGATCTTCTAGAAAAGGTGTGTGCATCTGTCTACCTCAAGATAAATGGAGATGGGAATTGAAATACTGAAAATATTGAATTAGAGTTTGGACAGGTGAAATTAGAAGGGCCTGGCAATTTATTTATAAGCAATTTATTCCTTTTTTTTATTTTGAGATATGGGGGTCTTACTATGTTGTCCAGGCTGGCCTCCAACTTCAGGCTTAAATKATCCTCCTGCATCACCCTCCCCTGTAGCTGTGATTACAGGTGTGTGCTAACACACGCTGCACAATTTATCAATTCAGTAACAATTGGTAAGTTAAAATTATAGGAGCCATTGTGTTAGAATAAGCTCTGTATTAGGCTCCAACAATAAGACTAAAAAGCAGAGAGTAGTGTAAAGTAGTATGCTACATTGCTGGTGGGACTGCAAATTGTTGCATTCCCTCTGGAAAGCAATATGGAGATTCCTCAGAAAACTTAGAGTGGAACCACCATTTGACCCAGTTATCCCACTCCTTGGCATGTACCGAAAGGGCTTARAATCAGAATACTACAGTAATACAACCACATCAATGTTTATAGAAGTTCAGTTCACCTAGGTGCCTTTTAACAGATGAATGGATAGAAAAAATGTAGTTTATACTCATAATGTGGTTCATATTCATAATGGAATATTAGTCATAAGAAGAATGAAATTATGGCATTTGCCTGTAAATAGATGGAACTGGAGACTATTATGCTAAGTGAAATATGCCAATCCCCCCAAAACCCCAAAGCCAAATGTTCTCTCTGATATACAGATGCTAACTCACAATAAGCGGGGTTTGGGGATGGGGGGAAATAGAAGTTCACTGGATTAGACAAAGGGGAATAAGGAGAAAGGGAGGGGGATGGGAATACGAAAGACARAATGAATCAGATGTAACTTTCCCGTGTTCATATATGAATACATAACCAGTGTAATTTCACATCATGTACAACCACAAAAATGAGAAGCTATTGATACTCCACGTATGTATGATGTGTCAAAATACATTGTACTGTCATGTATAATTAAAAAGAACAAATAAAAATTAAAAAATAAAAAGGACAAAAGAAAAAAGGTAGTATGCTAGGCTCCATAAAGCAAAAGAAGAAAATCTTTGCTGTCTTAGAATTTCTAATTATGTTAGGAAGTTAAGATAGATTTATGACTACAGTTGAAAGTAAGGTGTCAGAAAATTATAGATAGTATTTGACTTGTGCAAATTTAAAATTTCAAACAACCTGCTCTTTAATGTATCTTGACACATTGATTAGATAGAGACCTTTGGTCATCCAGGGAAGGTTAACAGTTTGTACTCTTTCAAATTGATAAATATGTGCTTGATAATTAAGAGGAGGTTAGACACCACATGGAGAACCATAGTTCGCAATGTGCAGTGAGTGTCTTCATTATTGTCTTTAAAAATTTAATTCTAGGTGTTTGGGATTGTGGCTCAGCGGTAGAGCGCTCGCCTAGCATGTGCTTGAGGGCCCTGGGTTCTATCTTCAGCACCACATAAAAATAAAATAAAGATATTGTGTCCAACTACAACTAAAAAATAAATATTTTTAAAAAAAWTTAGTTCTAAATCCCAGATTGATTATTCCACTCAGCAAAGGAAAAGCCCTGAAATTAATTGAAGTCACTCTTCTTAAAGATCATATTATTACTCAGGCAAGCTTCAACTGATGTCTTATAGATGATGTGTAATCCTGTCCCTGAGAGGAGATCTGGCTCATGTACTTACCCCCCACCTTGTTTGATTTTCAATCATAACCTGGGGACTTTTGAAGTTATAGGCATTATCAGGTAGCTCATGGTATATTTAACCCAGCCGTGATTAACTACACTTTTGTATGGCAAATTTTAACTTTTATATAATTTTAGTTCTCATATGATGGTGCTTTCTGTCAGTGAAAAAAATTCTGTTTGGGGAGTTACCATCACTTCTGCCCAGAGTTTATACTGATATTTTACCTAAGCCCTCCATGAAATACGTTCTCTAGTGTCTAGGAGCAGCGGGCTGAGGAATGGCTGACCAGCAGGKGGCGCTCTTATTTTGGGGGATTCTTATTTCACCTGAGTCTCTTCTAAAGCAATTGCGTTTTCTCTAGCTGTCTACGTTTGGGTCCTGGGTGAGTAAATTTTATCTAATAAGAGAATTCTGTTGCTAAAACAAAGTTTTGACTTCTCATTTCATAAAAATTATAGGGAAATAAGTCCCATAGTGCTGAAACCTGTGGTCAGCGTGYCTTAGGAAATTAAAATGGAAACAAAGATTAGCTTGAAATGGGTGCTAAATTGGATTCAGCCTTGTCAATTTTCTTTTTAATTGAGAAGTAAACATTCAAGATTAAAAAACATATAGAACTGAGCAGAAGTATATTGGTGATTGTGTATACAAATAAGGTTGACTTAGTGATAGTAGATAGTTGATTTAATTTTCAAGAAAGGAACCACATTATAAGATGAAAATGATTGTCATATTTTCGAATAAAACTTTTTAGGATACTTTTGTGGATATAACAGTGGTGCTTTTTGAGGTTTTACGGTTCTCCAAGCTGTCACCATTCTTCACTGTGCCCTGCTACCATGGAAGTTTAGATTACTTGGGAGTTTGGAAATAGAGTATAAACACAGAAGGCTTACAGAAGAAAATAACAACTAATATCTAGTTCTGAGCTTTATTTAATTCAAACTAAAACCATGGCCTCTAATTTAAAACAAAAATTAATCATGATGTATGATATACTTTCTGATGTAAATTCTTTTAAAGAATATTTCTGACCAGGAAGCAATAATATTCCTAACCAGAAAGCAAATGTCAGGGTTACTCATCAGTTTACCAGATGTTTGTGAAGTCTCTACTATGTGTGTTGAAGATATTCCTTACCCTCAAGAAGAGGAACACAGAAAATGTCCAGTATATGGTTTAAATATATGGTTTAATTTAGAGAGTAATAAAATATGGTTTAATTTAGAGAGTAATAAAATCTCTATACAGTAACTAGTCTGAGTCCACATTCATTCTTTCACAGACACCAAGTGCCACTATTAACATTAAGATAGAAGAAAATGTCCCTATCCATGTAAGCAACACACACGCACACAAGTGTCCTTTCATCCTTTATCCTTTCTGAAATTGATGTCATTACTCGTCTTCTTCTGTKACTTAGTCTTAGAAGATGTTAATTTTCTTCCTTCCTTGGTATCTTTGGACAA